TTTTGACAGTTCACTTGGGTCAAAAACCAGCGACTGCAGACGCAGACATGACGAAATGGGATTCCATGACGAATCAGTGTCCAGGTGGCCTAAGCAGTTGTCTTTTATCTCGATTTCGGTTTCAGTTTAAAGCTAATTAGCCTGGCCATCGTGTCTTCTCAGCCAGCCTCTAATTATATGCAATTAATCGAACGATTTCGATTGGATTGGCTTCGCTTTTGAGTCACCGCCCAGGGGCAAGTCGACTTTCGGTGAGTCGTGCCCCTCGATTCCATGCTCAAGCTGCCTCATGTACTCGGGAGAATTATTTTTAATCGTCCCAAAGCAGTTCTACCCACTGAAGGTTATTCGAATCATTGACAGTTTTACGGGGGCTGATTTAATTCAGCAGAGATAAGCTTGGCTGCGGAGGTCAAGTTGCTGGGAGATGCCAATCGAGTGCGACCAGAATGTGTCAGAAGATAAGGGAGAGACATCAAAATTATCAGCTGGAGGCTCAAAGTATTAATTGGGGTTAAGTCTGTTAGTGCGGTCGATTTACGAGCTCACTGAACTTTATGCCACTAGAAAAGTGTGATTGATGGTTGAAGAGTAATTCGTTTTTGATATTACTATCAAAGGTTTTGGGTTGTTAGTAGGGAAAACCCAAAAGAATACAAAAGTCACACTAAAGCAGATAGTCATGGTCCTGAAATCTGGTCTCACGGATCACTAGAAAAGGTCTTCCGCCTTCCAACCTAATACGAGTTTCACTAACGGTTTGGTTCAGACACTTTCCCACTCTGAACCGAAAAACGTTTTCCCTAATTTCATTGAAAATAATTAGAAACACAGTTAAAGTCGCCCGGCTGAGGCGAGGCGGTTGAGCAATTTCATAATCAGTTTCCATGTAACATGTTTCTAATGAGACCACAATGAGCACAGAGATTTTCACGACAAGGCGGCAAACTTGTTCTCCGGCCCCACGGCTTCGACCCAAGAACGTGATGGCAACAAAGCCAAAAGCGAGACGAGGCGGGATTCCGGCCATCATCTTTGTCGCCGGCGAAGAGTTGAACGTGACACTCAGACGTGATTATGTCAACGGTGTTCGGACTCGGATTCAGTTTTATAAACCCCCTGCTAAACCAAAACTCCTTGTCCGATACGCGTTACTCAATGGGCCAGGCCGGGCTCTAACTGCGCCTCCCGACTTAGCTTCACACATTCCCGAGATCCCCGTCGGAGCTGATTCCCGATGCATTTGGTCACAGCACGTCGACGACATCAATTCCTCCAGAGACTTAACTCTTAAAACTTAAGAACTGCGAGTGGTTTTCTGGGTCAGCTGATTAATGGGTCTGCTGGGCTCGTCTTTCAACGTGGAAAACCCATCTCCGCAGCACCTTCATCTTCTTCTCATTTTCCCGGACTTTGTCGGCTTGTTTGTCTTTCCTTTCCGTTTGTCATTTATCACTTTTCTCTCTCTCCATCTCCATCTCCATCTCTCTCTCCCAGCGACTTTCAGTCTTTTAATCGCCACTATTGCAGACATTTATTAATGTCTTTTGTTAATTTAAAGTTCTATTCATAAGCAACCTCTGGCGAATCAGACAACATCCGAAGGCGTTGCCTGGGACCGAGACCATTAAAAAGTAAAACTAAAATTGTAAAATTCTAAAAACGCGGTCGAGGTCACGCACTGACATTTCCGATAATGAATGTACGATCTGGTGGGCCATTGTTGCTGTTTCTGTATGGCCAAAGCCGATTGCTCAATTCCTTGGTCATTCTCAGCCACGCCGAATTACATCAACAGCAGTCTCTCTGAGTCAACGAACCTCGGCCGCAGACATCCAAGATATAGAGATATAGATACCCAACATGCCTGTGCCCCTGCCCCTGCCCCCTGTCCGTGCCCAGCACACAGTTTCTATTGAGTTGCGGCTGGTAAAAATAGCCAACGCGTTAGAGGAACTCATTTTGACCGATTCCGAGGGGCGATGAACAATTCGCATGAATAAACAGCGCCAAGAAGACAGGGAAATAGAGGCAGGAAAACTTGAAGATATAATTCGGTAGGCAGACTTTTGGAAGGCGGTGTGAATATTTCTAGTGCCTAAGAATGTGTTGCAATTCCTATGACTAAGTAGAGAAAAATGCCCAGAATTTGTCAGGAAAAGCAGCTAACTTGATATGATATTTGAGCAAAGTAAAAGTATCGAAGTATAGAGACCAGCAAAGGTCGATAAATCAATAAACCTTAAGGTTCGTCTTCACTTCTGGGAACCCTTGGCGAGCTCCTCAATCATTTCTACTCTTTCTGCCAACTCACGCTCCGAAATTGAGGATTTTGTTCCAATACTTTCTCAGCGCTGTAAGCAAACACATTCACTTTTCCTGCCAGTCGTCGCCCGTGCTGGTTCTCCTTCTTTTTCGCATCAGATTTCAATCTAGAGAACTTCGCACTGACTCCAATTTGGTTTCCCTGATTTCTTTTATTATTTCCTACGCTCGCCAATAATCTTGAGACCTCTCGAGAGTCTGGCGCGGCGCGCAGAAAATAATAATAAAAAAGCAAAAAGAACGGCTGCTCCTCAAGTTCAGGCAGCACAGATTAGTCACGAACTTTGCATAAAGTTCTGCATTCTAAATTCTCATATTTCCAGCGCTCCTCGAGTGGGTGGGTGGCGGCGAATGCATTAAGGCATAGCCCGTACCTTAGAGTCGTGCCAAGATTGGGAGTGGTTCACCTTAGTTTGGGCCCGGATCGTTTTGGTTTTGGAGCTTTGGCTGTGGAGCCGAGACCGAGACCGAAAACAAAGAGAAAGGCGTTTCTCCAAAAAAGACACACAATGTTGTGGCTTTTGGCTGACTAGGGTTGGGTTTGAGCTCAGAGTTGGTCTCGGGTTCTCCGATCTCCGGTCTCCGGTCTTTGGTCTTCAATTCTGGTAATGAGCCTCAAGTATCGCAACTAAACAACCCACACCTGCCTCTCCGGATCTTCTCCGGTCTGTTGTTTCCACTCCCACTCCTCCTGCGTTGAGGTCTTACTCATGCAGCGTCTTCTGCCCATCTATTTCCAAAGTTTGTTCTTTGCCAGCGGCCCTCCTCGTGGATGACTCGACTGGGTTAAGTTGGGTTCATTTATCTATTTGCCAAACCAAACGGGCCAAGCCTCTGAAAAGCAGTCGGGTCTCTGCTCCCCGCAGAATTCTTTTGTCTTTGCTGGCTCATAATTAGCTTTAATGATAAAAATCATAATGCAAAACAATTTGATGCAGAAAATTGCTTGGCTTGGTCAAAGAGCTAGCAATGAAGGGAAATAAGTCGACAAAAATGACTGATCGACTGTCTCCTGGAAAAACTCTTGTCTTTGGAAAATGAAATGATAATGTTTCCACATAGAAAAGCTGAGTTTTGACAGCTTTCAACTTGAAATCAGTCTTGAAATTCCGGCAATATAATCAAATTTACGGCACTCGAAATATTTGATGGCAGTAAAAGTAACCCACCGAAAAAAGGAGAAAAATCCGAGGCAGCTCCGCAAACTTTCCCGCTTTTCCCATTCACAAGGGAGGAGGGAAGATTTGGCAAGGCTTCCCCATAAATCTTTCTCTCAGCGCCGCTTTCTCGGATCATTCTTCAAACCGAAACTGAAAATGGCAGAGTGGAGCTGCAGAGGTGACTTGGCCAAAAGGTTTTTTGGCAGCTGCCTGCGAGTGTCAATTTGGCCATAACCCAAGGTAAATCAAGAGCGGCAGGACGGAGGCGAGCTGTCCGGGCAAATAATTTTCATAAATTTCCACTTTTTAGCTTGAAGTGAGGCCCAAGTTGCTTGACATTTCAATTTGCCAGCGCTGAAAGGGAGATCACTGAAAATGAAGATCTCAAACAGGTGAAAACTGAAATTTATGTTTGCATTGGGATTGGGACTCGGCTCCGTTTGGCTTGGTTTGGGTCGCTCCAGACCTCGGGTTGAGTAAGGATGTGTCCGGGGCCATAAATAAATGTCCATGGCTGGTACACTCTGGGGTGAAGAGGTTGTCTCTAAAAGCCTCCCCCCTTTCTCCAATTTTATCGATTTCTAATTTCAACTCTTGCGCACCTTTGTGTATTTTTCATATTTTGTTTGGTGATGCAAGAGGTCGCCGGGGCTAAACTGTTTGTATGGAGATCAATGTCCAGATTGTGGAAGCCCGTTTGGGAGTTTCGCTGCCTCGCATTTTCCTCGACTCTCATGTGTGGGTGTCACTGGGTGTCACGCCCACATCTCCCCCTCGTGACCCCTTGGCGTCAATTGTCTTGTAATTATTTTCTTGATGCTTGATAAATTGAATATCGCTCTGTGCGGAAAGTCCTTCTTCCCTCCCGCTCTTCTGTGTGATTAATCACGGAACAATGGCAGAGCTTATGCAATGCGTGGGACTTTTCCAGCTTGACCTTTGTCTGGAGGTGGCTAAAGATGCGGATGGGTTGAATGGGGATAAAGCCAAGGCCCGGCAGCTGTTAAAATGACAAATGAGCGATGCCATATCGCTGCAGATGGGCGGCAAATGCCGTTGCAGTTGGGAAACGTTTTCCAAGGGGTGGGGTGGCCACTGAGGCTTTCGTTTAACGGGAAAGAAAGTTAGTTTAGCCAAGAATTTGAGATGGGTCGGAAGAAGAACTTGGAGTTAAATCAGTTAACGAGATACAAGATTGAATGATTAACATTAGGAAACCAAACACTGAAGTAATATTATCCCAATGTGACCGAGGAGTAAGCAGTCAAGTTATTACATGAAAATGTTTGAGTACCTCATGACTTTAATGTGGTTTGGGACACTCGGTAACTGTATCCCTTGCGGCAAGCCTTTCTCTTGTCGCAGCTCTACCCTTTTCCTTTCCCTGCCAGTTTGCCTAATCAATTAGCAGCCAGGTCATATCAAGTATACGTCATGTTAGCCACATAAGTTGAACCCAACGAACGAACACCTTTTTAATTTGCCTTTCTGTGTGCGCTCTCTTTTTGATTCCAGGTGTTGTACCATGAAATTGTATCACACGCTCGAGTAGTGAGCTCTTGCATTCGAGGCGCCGAAAAGGAGCAGCAACTCCAGCAGCAGCAGCAACAATTGAAACTGCAACAGCAGCAGCAGCAGCAACTGTCGAGTCAGCAACCCGCCTCATTGACCAGCAACTGCTCCAGTGAGTCAACCAGCGACTCGGCCACCAAGTCGAGCAGCCTGAGCAGTGGGTTCGCCTCCGAGCCGGTGACCACTCCCACCACCACTGCCATAGGAACCGCGGCAGCTGCCCCACCACCAGCTAGCAGCCACCCGTCGAAGAAGGGGGAAGGGAACTTGGAGCGGCTAAGGGACCGCTATCACATTTTGTATCTGAGGGCCTTCGAACTGCAGTTGTGCCTGGACAATCTGCTCAGGAAACGCAGCTCAGCAGCGGTAAGTTAGAAGAAGCTACTTAATGACTAAACTACGACTAAGCTGATAGCAGTAATTAACTTTAGTGAGTGAGGAGTATATCTCTCTTAACCGAAAACCACCCAACATATATCACTCTAATTTATGGCCACTCTACATGATCTTGAATCAATAATGGCTTATCCAAAAATAACCTCTGCGAAGCATTGCCCTTGGCGTGTCTCCGACTTTTGTCACTGTGGATTATCTACTTGGCACTAAAAAAGAAAACCAGCAGCCGGCCAACCAAGGGAAAAGCATTCGAGATGCCAGGGATTCTTGGAAAGAAAGAAAATGCACTTGGCGCCGCTTTCCCTGCACGCCCGTCCGCTGCTCATCTCCTCGTATGGCCAATTGTGGAAATTTCTAATTACGTTTTTGTATAACTCGGCTGCGAGTGATTTAATTAATTCATTTAGTGAAAATTCCGGCAATGCGACAAAAAATGTATTGGGAAAGCGCGGCAGTGCGCAGCAATGTGATTGAATGTGAGACGAACTTGGGAGAAACATCACAGAGTTTCGCCTGGGTGGTAATAGTTGGTTCCTGCTTACTGAGAAGATGACTGCTTACTGGAAAGTGAGTGAATGATTCAGGTAGTTCCCCTTACCATGAAGTAAATGATAAGAATAGCTTGGAGCCAGCTGGCTGATCCGGACTTCCTTCTTCTTCTCCCATTTCGGATAGTTCCATTCCCCGATCCATTCTGTTCCTCTTGTGGCATCCGTTTCGTACTCAGACCCAGTGAAAGTCAATTTCGCCTTATAGACAAGCTGACCCAGTTTCCTACCAACGGGTGTGGATAGACGGATGGATCCTCCTCGGAGCTCTAAACGTTTCCTGGTTAAAGTTCTCTGCCCCTCTCCATCGGGTAATTGGAAAGCGTTTTCCATGCTCCCCTCTTAATTGCTGGTAATTTGCGGAGTAGGAAGCGCAAAGTGCTCTGGCCTCGTGCCTGGTCTCGGTGGGTAAGTAATTCACTCGAGACACGCACTGGAAGAGGCGTCTTCTGACCCACACACACATAGTCTTCTGGGCTTTCTTCCCGCACCTATGATTAGACCCCCGGCAGTGGGGCAGTTAACCTTTTTTCGTGAACCGCTTCATCTGGTTGCGCCTCGAGCGGGCTTTTATCCACCCCTTTCATCCTCCTCCCAGTAGATCTTGCTCGTTGGTGCAGAAACGATTTCATTTTCCACCGACTCGCTGATGCAATAATTTGCATCCCCCCGGGATCCGGCCATGACCAATCTCTATGTGGGCCGATCCACTTGGCAATTTTCAACACTTTCCTGGCCACATTTAGCCCGGGCTGCCTGCGGGGGAATTCGTTGCTCTACATTTGCCATGCATCCAATTGCTGGCCAGCGGAGATTAGCCGGCCCATTCAAGCCATGTCTGCACTTCAAACGAAAGGCGGCTGCCACGAAAGCCAAGCAGCGAGCCGAACAATGGACAGACGGAAATGTCACAAGTGTTTGCACTCGGAGAAAAACTGATCGGATCCAACTATGAAAATGCATGGAAAGTTATTGGCTATTATTTCTATTTATTCGTGAGTGCTGCTAACCATGATGCGATCTCGTTTACGGTGCACTTCTCGCGGTGCCCCATTTACCAAATGTCGTAATAAACTCACAGCTTGCCTGCCAGCAGCTTTCCGCTTCTTCATCAGCGGGGTTAGACGTGGAGTAGCTGCCATAAAGAAAAGTATTTATATCTGAGGCAATGTAAAATCAAAAACTGCGAAAAGTAAAAGTGAAATTTATGCGCCCTCAACTGCAGAGTTCACCGGAGTCAGCGGCGAACTGCGGCCAAGTCCGAAATCAGCTCGGAAATCAGCACCGAGACCAAATGAAAGTGACCGAAATGAGCTGAGCAGGGCAAATGGAAATAAACCAAATCAAATTCACGACGTGCCTGAACTTTGGAAACTGTAAAGAGGAAAAGTGATCGACTATGAATACCCTACTGGTTACGGGAAAGTGATTTGTTCTGATCTTGAATATTGGAAAAGTAACTCTACACTTTGTCAAGGTGTACCGAAAAAGCTCAGCTACTGTTAGCCCAAAAGCATCTTGCAACTAGTTTCCTTTGTTCCACCTCTTCGCTTTGTTTCCCACATCACTCTCTGGCAACATGTTGCAAGTGGCGGCCGCAACAAGTTCGATAAACAAATGCAGCTGAATTGCATTGAATTATGCCCCATTATGGCTGTGATTATTGTTATTATATCTCGCCCGAACCTCCTCTTTTTCGCTGTCCCTCGCCTTGGGATTATGTTGTTTATTCTTGGGAAAACTCTGTTTGCTTAGGCGACGGAGACTGCGAGACCTTTGGCTGCTCTTTCAACGGGTTGAAGGTTGACTGTGGGCTGGGAAACATCTGTTGGCTGAAAGGGAAACGATCTTGGGAACAACCGAGTGGGAGAAGCCGCGGAAATCGAGTTATCTTCTTGAGACCGGGACCTTGAAACCGTCATCAGCTCTCACTAATTGGCCACTATTCCATGTACCAATTAGCATCCATCAATGGCAAATGATCAAAATATTTTTGAATTTAATTGGCCCCATCAGCAGCAGTGCAGCAACAAAGTGGCTCTGCTAACCAGCAGACATCAATCAAATACCGACATAAATCAATCCTCAAACTTGCTACTAGTCTGCACGTCCACACCCAAAAACAAAACTAAAAACGGAATATGCAAATTAGTTTTTTACTCTCTCAATCTGTTGAACCACAAAACGAGGCTTAAAATGAGTGAATGCAAATCGCATAATAATTGACAATTGGTGGTTGAGGCGGCGGCGGAGGTGGTTGTGGAGGGGAGTGGCTGGCCATTTGGCTGGCAGTCACGTCGGAATCGAATCTGAACTGCAATTTATGCATGTGGATTGCTTACACACATTGCAAGTTGCAAGTTGTAAGTTGCTGGTTGCTGGTTGCCTGTTGCAGGTTGAATATGCTGCATGCGGCTGGTGTGTCCCGGAAAGCAGCACAAATTAAATCACAATAATTATGTAAAATTGGGGGAAACAAAGCGAAGGCACACCCACAATTGGCGGAAGAAAAAAGCCACGGATTTTGGCTTAAACTACGTGTAGTTCATATTAACTTTCCTTAGTAAGAGTGGCTAATTAGGCTCCCCTCTTGTAGATATATAAACTAAACAGCCAACACAAAAACTTGGCCACATGGAAGAAAAAACCGTGCAACCGCAAAAAGCAAAAATTGGGTGGCTCCGAAATGGTTTTATAATGTATACCAAGCAAAAACCGTTAGCTGCTCTAGTTTCTGGCTTAGATAATGACAGATTGCTGGCTTAATATTCCTTGGGGTTTCCTCTCTTTGGGGCTACTTTTTCACCGTGTTTTCAATTACCCCCCGTAATGACCGGAGCCACTTAAGTGGTTCATTATTTTATGCCAGTTTTGATAGGAGAGTGTCGTATTATCACGGATAAGATGGGGGATTTGTGATCTGATTTAGTCTGTGATCGCACACATTGGTTTCTGGGCCAATGACTGATGGTCGCCAGGAAAAGCCATAAAGAAAAGCCAGAATAACACCAACAAGCGATCAACAAAAGCAAATTGCCAGCAGCTGTTGGTTAAACGGGCCACATTCCCATATCGATCGGTTGATCGCTGGGAAAGTCGGGGATCGATAGTGAGTTGCCCAATGCGAGATGCAAACAAACAAGAGCAGTCATCGCCCCACAGCGGCAACATGATGCTGCGGCGGTCTCGTGTGGCGCAACTGCGACGTCTTCAAATGCGATTTATTGTGCTGGCAGGCACCTTACTCAAATTGACATTTGCCAAATGTCAACGCGCGACTTTTGTTTGCCAGCCTTTGTCTCGGCTTTTGCGAATCAAACTCGACTTTGATTGTCAATATTTCATTTTCATTTTGCCAGCTGCCAGCAACACCTTAAAATCATTCCTACACCGTGAATAAAAGTATATTTTGGATTTGCTGAAGTTCGATTTAAAGTTGTTATCTTACTAAAATGAGTTACTAAAGCGAGTAGTCATGATAAACAAGTGACTTATCAATTAGTGATAAAGTATAGTGTTTTAGCACCTTCCTTCGATACTACAAAGTAGAGTGCACTTCGTTCATGCCACATGTGCAACCCCAATACTTTTTTGCAAACTGCAAATTATGGAAAATTGCGTGGCCAGAGGAATCGGGCATTAGCATCTCCCTGCGTGGGCAACACCCACGCCGTTTCGTTGCAAGTACTGCGGCAACATGTTGCACTGTTCGCAGATTAGGGTCAGACGCCGAGAACGAGAATTGGCAGGGGTCTAAAGTGAAAATATGCAAACTATGGCCGACGGCTTGTCGAAGTTGCACGCTGCTGCTGTTGCAGTTGCCGCTTCGGCCAATGCAGCGACTTGAATGCTCGCTCTCTTGCCTCTGCCTGGCTAAATTTAGCATCTAATGCGATTTGTAATAGTTGAGCTAAATTGTAGACGTCCAAGTTGCTGCTGTACCAGGAAATGTTTGCCGTACGCCAGCAACACCAACAACAGAAACAGCAACAACAATGAAAGTAATAATTTTGTCGCTGCTGTGGGTTGTTGTTGTCTGAGGGGGTGGTGCATGCTGCCAGTTTTCCATATGACTTGGAGTTTTCATGTTGCTCATGTTGCTGGCTTGCCAATTGTTGTTGTCTGTGCGGGTTGTCAACACGGCGATGTTGTTGCCGTTGCCGTTTGCCGTTTGCTGTTGTTATTGTTATTGCTGGTGTTTTTGTGTCTGCAGTTTTGTCGCGCCATTGGAGAGTTTTTCCACTGCAAGTCGAAGTTGCCGCTGCTGCACCGGCGATATTGTCGCCGTTGTCATCGCTGGATTAAAATTCATTGAATGTTTTGTGGAGAATTGAGTAATTGTTGCGAAATTTCGCTCGATTTACGGAAAATGAGAGAGCTGAGGGGGGAGTCATAGATTCGATGATTTAGCATAGTGAAATCTTGAAAAATATTTAACATGTTTCCAGGTAGTTTGTTTAATTTTTATGTATCTATGATGGATTACTCAATAGGCCTTGAAACTACACACATAATCGTTCCCATAAACTTGATGGCTCTGAAACTGAAATCCACGTTTATTCTCCATTTCCTCAGAAACCCATCGATCAACTCTGAAGCAACCTCGTAAACTCACCCATTTCCACCTTTTCATTTGAAATCTCTGAAGAAAAGTGGCGCATAAATAGAAAATAAGTATAAGCCTCTGACGAATGCAACTCACGTTTTTATTGCACGATAATAACAGTCATACAGCACATGCTAATGAAGACTTGCACCTCAGCTCACCTGCACCCACCGCTCCTCCTCCGATGACCAGATATCGACGATAGGCCAGCGTTTAGCGTTAATTAATCGCTGGCGTGTGGGAAATTCATAATTTCAAATGAAAATGAAATGGTGGAAAGACAGTGGCAATTGTGGGACAATTTCCCACACTTTACTAAGACATTTCGATGCTTATCGCTGCGGTGACAACGAAAATTGTGACATGGCCAGAAGTTGCGTGTTAAGATCCGTATCGGGATGGGAATCTAAGGGGCGCAGGAACATCTGGGTGTCAACGAGGTGCTAAGCGAGACTGGCAGTCGCTCTCTTTTTTGGGTTTTCCTTTTCAAAACAAGAGTTCTGGCGAAGTACGTCAAGATAGGCTTTAAATTTCCAACTAAATGGAAAGAAAACTCAGTGCAAGTGGAAGGCGTGCCGAAACCTTCTTAGTCGTCGAGATTCTGTAATCTCGTTCCCTTCCCTCCCCTACTCTTGCCTAATAACAACATCAAGTTCTGGTAGTCCGCCAGATTTCTTGGCCCTTTCTTGGCCTTTCAGATGTACCGTTTTGTCAAGCATGTTTTTCCGCCTAATTTGTATTTTGATTAGGTTTGCCAGATTGGGTTAATATATTAAAAGCCAGCGTGAAGTGAAAAGAGTTGGAAAAGTCATCACAGAATGCGGGTGTTATGCTAATTTGGAGAAAGTTCGGAAACCAGATCAGATGCAGATACCCGAGTTGAGTAAAAACTTATCAGAGATCATTCTTCGTTAATAGGGATGAGGCTAATTTGGGAACTTACAAATTAACTCCAATTTAAAACAACTTCTTTGATCATCAGTAGATAAAACTGAATCACATACCTGGGATATAGATAGGTCAAAAGAGCAACGCAGCTTTGATTTGCACTGTTTTGTTTACCCTCGACTACTTTTGATGGGTTGTCTGGCCTTCTTTGACTTCCCTGTTTATTTACACCACTCGGGATGGCCTGCCCCATTTATTCATTCCACCTCTTTGTTGTTCAATAGCCCAATAGAGTACTCCTCTCTGTTTACCATAAACAAAAACAATCAAATGGCGCCGTACAAAAGGTGTAAGCAATTTCGGGCCATAAATCATCTGGACAATTAGCCGCATAATCTGCTGGATCTCGTCCGCGGAGGAGAACAAGCTTCTTCGGATGTTTGGCGCGACCTTCGGGCGGCCTCCGCGGGATTTTATTAGAAACATTTACCCGAACAACGAAATTACGCAAATCCGAAGAGGCGAAGGCACTAAATTGCTTAGCTAAAACATCTGATGGCCATAAAAGCCATTCCACAGCTGATTGCCCATCGTCAGGGGTGAGGTCTCATGGGTTAATTGTGGAATTTCTCAGTTGTGTTTTATAGAGTGTTAAGACAGCATTTCTGTGTGTAATTCAGAGTGTGTAACGCACAGAGGGAAAGGGAGCCCAGGCGGATGGACCAAGGTCACTCGAGGTTGTTCGTATTTTCTCTATCGGTTCTGGTAAAAGCGAAGCACTTTTCAAATGCCATCAAGGCCTCTTCAGACGCCTGCCTACCACCGCCTCTTGCTTGTGTGGGCGTGTACATGAAAAAAAAAAGGAAAATGTGGATGGAAAACGTGGAATATGCGAAGATTTGATGGCTCTTATTTAAAAAGCAATTAGTTAAGAAATTTAAACAAATAAAAGTTAAAATATATATATAAAAATATGTTTTTATACCGAGAAAGAAAACTATAAATATTTTTTTAAATATTTTTTTATGTTAAATTTGTACTTCTGAAAGACGCCGAACAGATCTTGACATTCAGAGAGGGTATAGACCAACTTTTCTCGCCTCTTGGCTTATCTGACATCTGTCTGACCAAGTGTTTGCCAGTTTGTCTCTCCGCCTGTCTGTTTGCCAGCCTGTCCGTTGTCTGCTGGCCGTGTCCACCCGCTGATCCGATGCGAGAGCTTCGCTTCGTGTGCCGACAATTGAAAGCAATTATAATTTTAGCCAGCATATGAAAGAGGAAGAGAGGAGTGTTACGTGATGGAAGCAGGAAGAGCAAACGAAAAGGCGACTGGACTGGCCTGTTGTGAAGTTTTCCCAGGTAGCAGCTGAGCAAAGATCAAGATCACACGAGTTGGCCAATTAAAACGAAATGTTGGCTGCAATCACAACTTTATTGGGCCAAAAGGAAACCTCTAATGAATCAGCCTAATCGAAGATTTCCTTTTTTTCATCTTTTCTTGCAGAATGGTCTGGATGACGACGAGGACGAAGAGGAGGACACCGAAGACGACTCATTTGGCTATGAGGGCGAAGCCACCGAGGACGACATAAACGAGGTCAACTCGGATCTGGATCTGGAGAACAGCGAGTCCAAGTCGTCGGCCACCCCCGCAGAACTCATCCTCCAGCGCTGCCAGATTGCAGCCACTCAGATTGTCTGCGGCTCGGACGAGTCCCATTCCCAGTCCCAGTCCCAGCCAGTCCCATCCCAAGCGGAGTCTCTCTCAGCGGATCAGCCACGCGATTGTCTTGCACCTCAAAAGGTAAGTCATCCCATGGTGGATCCCTCTGTCGCCTGAATGATTTGCATTTTCCGTATGTAGTTACTGTTTGACTTGTCGTCTTGTTGCGTTGTTAGTTTAGTTGCATGCCCCCGCCTTCCACAGTATTGTCAACTCTCCTAGCCTGACCTAGCCTAACCCCCATCTCAAGCTAACCAAAGAACCCAAACTGAACCGAGACCTACCAAAAAACGTTATCCCAGCACCCCAAACCCATGACCGTAAAAGGAAAAACAGAATACTTAGCAAATACCTCTGATATTTTTGGGCATCATCTGAAACGAGAGATGAAGGAAACTCAGCTCTGTAATTATTTTTGGGCATCCTAAAGAACAGTGAAGACGAGAAGGTACCCTGCAGTTCTCGTTAGCAGAGCTAAGTTCTTTTCAAAAATATTTTTTAAGTTTTAATTCGGGGGAGATGATTCCTTGACAGAGCAGATGACAATTACCTCCGAAATCCCACTTTTGGCCACTCTCAAGCACTCCTATCCCAAGAAAAACCACACCAAGTTGGCACTACTTGAAGGGCAGAGCATGTGTTAAATGTGAGCCCCATGAAAACCCGACCCACTCCCCTTCGTGTCACCCACCCACTTAACACTTTCCGACCCTCCAAACACTTGCCTTACATTCAGCCCGGCGATGAGGCCGACGAGGAGCTAGAAGAGGAGGACGAAGAACCCGATCTGGGCACCGACGTGGTGGACTTCCTCATAGGCAAGCGATCGTGGAGACAGCCCAACCACCCGAATCCCAGTGGGGCAGCCACCTTAACGGATTTCGAGGCGGACTCAGAGAGCAGTGACTTCGAGCAGGTGCAGCAGCTGAGCAGGCGAGGATTCGCAGTGGTAGCGGGAAGCACCCGAAGGGTCCTGAATCTCTTAGAGATGCCCCAGAGCAGTAATAGCAATATCAACAGCAGCAACTCGTTGCTGCAGCAGCGTCATCACAATATCGGCAACAAAATGCTGCCCAACAAGGCGCATAACAAAAACATTGCCGTGGCGGTAATCACACCCAATTCGCATGGGAACACCAGTCACGGCCATGGACTGGGCCACGGAATGGGTCACGAGCTGAACAAGTCGCCACTGGGACTGCGCAAGACGCGCCATCACCACAATGACACCTCCAAGTTCAACCGCTCCAATCGCAAGTCGAAGAACTGCGCGATCTTCTACTTCAAGCATCTAGACACGGACAACGAGCAGGGAAATGCGGCGGGCAGTGATCTCCAGAGCGAGGATGATCCGTGCTTGATCCACCGACGAAGAGTCGGAGCTGCAGGCGACGTAAGTACCGTTCTCTGGTGGTGGATCTCTGCGATATCTGTGTGCTTTTCTCTCGGTTACGGGTCAGCTGTATCAGCAGATCATCGGTGGCATTCGTTCCACTCGCCCATGTGTTGGGGTCACGTTCATCGTCGGACGAGAGTCTCCACTTATTCTCCTGGAGTCTCTCCCTCTTCTGCCCAACTAATTAGCATGCTTCGATAGTTCGCTATTCTTGATGTCTGTAGTCTAACGTGTATTAACAAATATTCATAGTTTTCGGCATGCCTAACAATTTCCTAATTAACTTTGTGTTCTTCTATTCGGTAGTCTTCATTATGAACTAATCTAACACGAACTCTCAGTCATTAATCATTCAACACAAAAGAAGTGAAAACCTAAACCTCTTTTGAGTGATGTACAGGAAAGAAGTCTAGCTGAAGTTAACTAATTTGGAATTTGCACTTAAAGAAGTCAAGTCATATCAGAGATCTATAAAGATTTCGATATAACCCTCTCTTAAGACAGATACACCGATCTTATAAAGTTAAAGCCTGTTACTGATGATGAATCTTTATTCCTAAACAGACAACATTCAGACTTAATTTGTTTGTTTCTCCGTCTGAGACTGCTCCACCACTTCTTTACTCCACCCCTTTAATTCTTCGGCAGTTTCCCTTCAATTCTGCAGTCTTCCTCCCACATTTGACAACGGCTGAGGTCGTCACCATTCGAAATGGAAATAAATTGCCAGCAGAAAGACAACGGAGAGAAGTCGGTGGAGTTGGAAAAGTCAGGGAGAAGGCGTTGTTGTCGGCAACTGAATAAAGCTTCATAGATGTTGCTCATGTGCAGCAGCCAGTTGCAGTTGCCAGTTGCCAGTGCACCGACACAACAATTTGCCATTTTGCGCAAGTAACGCTAATTAAACTTCATTTTCTACCACTTCATCTTCATCGCTGGTTTCTTCTCCAGTTGGCTTTTCCTTTGCTGAATTTTCTTACCACTGATTTTAATGTTTCAATGCGTTTTCCCTTTCCATCTGCCGCCGCTGCTTACCTCCAATGTAGATACTGAAATCGGCTGATGCCTCAACGGATGACGACGACGAAGGTTGGCTCTACACGGCGACAGCAGCAACATTGGAAGTTGCCCCAACAGCAACTGCAACATCAAGTGCCGCAACAGCAACAACATCGATTGTGGATGGTCTCCAGTCCACGGCCATCTCCTCAACCACGGCAACGGGTGCACAGCCCTCGCCCAGCGACGACTCCGATAAGGAGAACAAGGAGGCTCTGGTCACCACCACAACAATCACGGCAACAGCAACTGCTGCAACATCCATTACAGCGGCAACGGCAACAGCAACATTGCACAGCAGCGTCTACGACAGCAGCAGCGCCTGTTCCTCCTCGAATTCAAATTCGAACTCCAACGGCAGGCTCACGGAGACCTCGGCCACCTCGCGAGTCACTCAGCTGCAGATGCACTCGCACTCGCACACCCAGATGGAGTTCCACAGCAATGGCAATGCCAGCCATGGCAGGCACTCCATTAGCAACAACAATTGCTACAGCAGCATGCAACATGAGCAGCAAAACAACAACGAGGGGGAGGCAGCCGAGGAGCTAGCCAAGATCAAGATGGGCGTCGATGAGACAACTGCTGATATGGCAAATGGAAACGCCACCAAATCTCAACAGGTGAGTAGTCAGATTTGGGATTTGGTTTTGTAAATGTTAAAAGGGGAACTCGGAACTTTGAGATAAGATCGATCTAGGTTTAAAATGTTAGTTCATGTGTTGCATAACCATTTTACTTAAGTCACTTTCCTTAATGTTTAGTCTAGTCTAGTTTACCAGCATTTTGCACAGCTCTTCGAGAACCCTCACATTCAGATCGACTCTTCAAAGCCGCCATTTGTGGGGCACCAGAAATCGAGTCTGGTGGCAAAGTCTGTTCGATTTGGTTCGGTTCGGCCACTCGACTATTGGGCAAGTTCCCACAGTCAGTCAAGTGCCAAGTGCTCAAGTCTAGTGGCCATGTCTGTGACTTGTGTCAATAAAAGAGCTTGGTCTGTGGCGTAGAAGCAAGGGGCAGGAGCGGGCGCTGAGGATTTAGGATTTGGGACTGGTGGACTGGTGGACTGGGTGCCGGGCAGAGCGTTTTCAATAAATGGAAAACCTCAGCGGATGATTAAGCAGTTGGGTTAATGAAAGCGAATCATGCACCGACTCCTGCCGTTCCAAACGGCGGACTGAGGCCTCGATCGATGACTACCGACAAGGCATGATGTCGTGGTCCAGGAAAAACGATCGCCGTCGCTCGGGAAATTGAGCGGAGCACGTCAAAAATGGGAAAGTACGAAATTAACTGGGAAACGTGTGATTTATTTCTTCATTGAAGGCAAATGAAAAGAAGCCCAGGCCGACGTGAGGCGGAATGAAACGAAACAATCGAAAGGGACAGTCTGTCCCAGACTCGTACAGCTCAGGTTGAAATAATAGTTTTTTGTGCCTCTTGACAGTTTCTGGGAGTCAAACGAAAGACTTGGGCTCAAAGATGAGTCCTACTGATATTGTGGCTTACAAAGTTCAGGATATAATCAGGAGAAGTTGATCAAATTATTAATAAATGGCATTTCTCTTCCCCCACAGATGAGCAACAGTTTCTACAGCCGAGCGGACATCTGCAACATCAGCGTGTGGCCAGCAGAAACTGCGGCCAATAGCCACTTGCCACCAAGATCCCCGGCCAAATCGGCCAAGTCCTCCAAGTCGCAGGCCAGCAGCAGCAACGCCACCATGTCGGCCTCCATCGCTTCCCCAGCCAAGGTAAGCCATAAAGTATGGATATGATGGGAAGAAGGAAGTCAAACTTCCTGCTAATGAGATTGAGACATTAACACGGCAGTGTGGTTTGTCCGTGCTAATCATGATTAATGGCTGGCAGTCTTTTATTTGACTCAAACGGACTAAGAAATACCAAATCAAAACTTTCGAGACAACTTTGCAAAGGGGAGATGTATAACTGTATTCTTGAACTAGCTTTAAACTAAAACTAGGAAAATGGTTGTCAAATGGATATAAGAAATGGAGTTTAGAAACTGAAAGAAGTGCCTGATCTCTATCTGTGAGAAAACTTTCTCTTCCTAGGGCCATGATCTATAGATCCGCGGGATACCCCTTTCATCAATCAGTCTGTTCTAGATTATTTAGTTTTAAATTGTATCTAGATTGATTTTTCACTGCTGTAGAAGCCATCGCAGATGATCGATTATGAGTTTGATCCACCGATCGTTGGATAGCTCTATGTATGAGTACAAGTATATCGATGTCGGTGGTCCAACGGCGATCCCCTCCTATCGATTTGATTTAGCTGTTTGCGTGCGTCGGTTCAAATTTCTCTCGGCTGACTTTGTGGTCACTTTTTGTGCGTGTAAAAGCGGTGGTAAAACATGCGAAGCTGACATCTTACTGAGCGTAATGGCGAGTAATTCAATCTGCGGCTTTGGGCTGAGTGCGGAGGTGTGGGAAATCCAAGGAGTGGACCAAATCTCCCGCCGAGTGATCCCATCATTTGTCGCCGCCTATCAACGTCGCTTCGGAAAAGCCAACGTGTTTGGCAGTCAGCACTCTCACTTTCCCGTGGCCAGCATGATCATGTTTGAGCATTTTCACAGTCCCATTTGCATTTCGCAGTTGTCGCACGCAATTTCCACCGCCATTTTCCAGCCGAGGGCCGTCAGCTACCCCTTTTCCCCTTCTTTCCCTCGGACTGGCACGCAGTGCGTTGATTTATTGAGAGTGAAATCTTGTGCAGCTTTGATTAATTTTGACAAATTTTGCATTTTCGCAACCCGATCTCGAACCTGAACCTGAACCTGATCCCAAAGCCCCAAAAAAACCAAACGCATATATCAAGTCGACGTAACCGAAACCGATCCCAAGATAACGAGGAGCGGTGACGTCGGTCAAAGCACAAATAAATCTTTTAAAAATCATCAGTTTTTAATTCATATCTTATCGATTAGACAACCTGATTTGTTTGGGATTGCAAGTTAAATGGTGGCAAGCTGATAGGCAGAGACAACGTTTAAATTTGAAAAGCCAACAGTGACATTAGGCCAAGTCCCAATGAATAGATTAGTGTCATAAGAGTAACAGACAAGTCTATTTATCTCATCCATTAGACATTCGATTTAATAACACGATTTAATAAAAGCTTAGATAGGCAAAGTACTAATTAGTTAGTTGGTGTAGCAGGTATTCGTCACATAATTTGATAATATATATTGGGAAATAACTTTAATCAAAAACAATAATTTATAAGCATATACTATATCGAATTATCTGCTTACCCTGAACTGACATTATAGTTATCTTATCGATTTGCGCAAATGATTTTTATTCACAATAAATGCCCACAAAATTGATCAAATAACAATAAAACTAAGGCGAAAAATCAAAACAGTATTAAAAAAAATACATATCATGCGCAGGAGCTGCCTATCTGGCTGCTAATGCATGCTCCACTCGTAGATTTTTGCCTCAAATCGATTTCGGGGCATTATCTTATCAAACTGTCCGACTCTCCCGCACCGCCCCTTCCCCGGGGGCCATTATCAAACGCATTTCGGTTCGACAGTTTATTTTAATTCGTGGAGCAATCCCCACTATTCCAGCGAGCTAGCTAGAGTGCGAGAGTGAGTGCACTCCAGAGCCAGAGCCAGAGCAGCGATGGAGCGATGGAAGCACTGGAAGAGCATTAGCCTCAGTGTGATTCGCAACGTTGGAGCCGACGGGCGGACGAAAATCGGGGAGCGGACTGCCAAGATAATGGCTAAAAATTAAATAGACAAACAATTGCTAAAACAACAATAGAAAGCCCAGAGCAGCGGCAGTAACGAACTGTGTTTATTTCGTTGCGAAATTTGCATTAAACAAATACAAAAGGCAGCATTCCGTTCGGAAAGAAATAAAACAAACAGTAAACATAATAGTTCGACTCATTAAATCAGCGGGATACAGTGAAAAAAATCGAATACCTGTTACTCTCGCTTGGTAGATGGTAAAGCTGTAAGTGGCTATGAAATTAAAAGAGATTTAACACCCAACTAAATTAATAAACATGTCGGTAATAACAAAAGTAGTGCAGAAATATGAAAAACTCTTTTAAATAGAACGTGATGTGATGGTGTGATATCAGTATTACCGATAAGGTAGTTCTTCTGAAACTGTAAGCATTTGCCTGGCCCCGTTTTCCTTAAAAGACATTAACGCGATTAGATTTTGGCCAAAAACATGTTGCGTGCGGGCAAAAATATAAATAAAAGCAAGAAAACCAAACCGACAACAGTCAAGGCCCAGAGAGTGAGAGCGGGATAGGTTCGGACGGTCAGAAACAGATAGAGCTGCGACGACAGTCTAAGAGGCACTGCCGTCGAGGAGTTGAAGTTGAGTCCGACTCCGAGTCTGACTGCGAATCCGAATCCGCATCTGTATCTGTATTTGAAGCTCTGGCTTTCCAGTTTTGGGCTTAATTGGCAGCCCGGCGTCCGCACTCGCATTAATAATTGGCTTTAATTATCACAAACGCCCAATCGCTTTTTCGCGCTCACTGGGCAACTAGCGGTAACTGTAAGTCGGAGTTGTGGCAAGCTACAAGCCGCGAACGTAAACGGCGTTTTCACTTGGCATTAGAAAATTGTTTCCGTTTTGGCACCAGTCGTTCTCAAACTGCCAGCAATCGCGTGCCTCGCTCACCGCAGGAAGTTGTTAATTAAATTAAGCCAAAGATTAAGCATCCACTGACGGCCAGAGTGAGTTTTTGACTTGAGCTGCGATAAAAAGACATCTGCAGGGGGGCTCCAAAAGATACAATACAGTGCGCGACATCTGTCTAAGCCATATAAAGAAAACCTTCAAATTGTTCAATTGACCCGGTAAAAAGAGACAAAACTCAGATAAAAGAAACCGTTTCGTAATTGCAGGGGAATAATTAGCCATGCTCCGGTGGTTTGCATATGTGTAAACTGGAAACAGCTTAAAGCAACCGAAATCTGATGTTGTCACATTATGAGTCGGTCTTCGAAGCTGGGCGGTTGATTTCTGTTTAAGGCAGTCCCAACCCTTTTCGAAAAAGTTCATTAGATCACCAGAACCTCTGCCTTTACAGGGTTTGTTTACTAAGATAGATCAAGTAAATTGTCAGGCAAACTCCCGTACTTAGATACTGTTACTCAACCAAAGATTGTGAATAGACTGGCAAAGGCCACCTAAATATAATATCTTCTGTCATAGGAAACGGCTTTTCTTCTCAGAAAGTACCTTGGTGAGCAACCCACTTACTTGATTGATGGGATGTGCGAAAAAAGTAAAGGTGGGGTGGAGGGGGGAAGTCAGCGATATAAACAGACCTAGATAAGGACAAAAGTGTATGGCGAATTCAAGCCGCCACTTCACTCCCCCACCCGCGGCACTCCACTCCAGCCCAATCCATTCAAATCCACTCGACAGTAATGACGTTGAAGTGCACTGGGAACGGGTGACAAATAGCGATAAGCGGGCGGGGAAATGAGTTCTCAGCGATAAGGAAAACACTCCCACAGCCGAAAGCAGTCTTTCCCTCTTTGCTGATAAGATTTCCACTCTCTTGCGCTGCATTTCCTATTTCGATGGTCTTACAGTGAAGCTTCCCAATTTCATCGAATGGTGATTAATATTTTACTGAATATTTTTGAAGTTTTCTCAGATAAGTTTTTGGTTTGCAAGCTTAGAGAAAGTTTAGTTTCCTCAGGAACGTATTTCGAACCCGCATAATATAGCTACTGGTATTTGAAAGATAACAACGATAGTTCTTACTGAATCTGAACTGTACTTAGTCATCTTTACGACTCTACTGATTCAACCGCCTGAAGCTTGCAACTCCGATTGGGCACGCTCATTAATTTCCGCTCTCTAAACAAATTTCCCTCGCCGGCTACTCACACTCCCCGCTTTTCCTCTTTCCTCTCCAGGGCAAGGTCTCGCATGATTCAATCAAGCAGTTGGTGCTGGAAGCCGAGCATTTGGTGCGCGACGCCCAAGAGACCGCACTGAAGACGCCAACCAAGCAGAAACATTCCATCATTAAGATCTCGTCGACAGTCAAGAAGCGCGAGGTCACCATGCCGCATCCCATCAAGCAGCGCGTGGAGGTGAGTTTCGTGAAGATACTATATATATATATATATCTATATATATGTATAGTAAAAAAGATGTAGCTAAATCCTATAAACCTATTAATCACCCACCTCCACATCTCTCCCCTTAGGAATGGCTGGAGCACCAGCCCTCAACCCCACAAGTGCTGACCCGCAGCCGCACCCACGAAATCCTGCCAGGCTGCAAGCCCGATGACTGCGAGGCATCTGGGGAGGCATCCGAAACGGATTCAGTGCCTCACCCCGGAACTGGTGTGGCAGGAGGAGTAACGAACGGCGCGGGATCGGACTCTTCGGAGGGCTTCACCGATTCCATTGCCACCTGTATGCAAACGAGCACGAATTCCTATGGGAATTCCACGGAGAGAATCGGTGGCTCTGCAGAGCCCATTGGGCAGCCAACCACGCCTTTGGGCTTTGGCAGCAGCAATCAAAGCCTTAACGTGAAGATTGTGAAGCGACCACAGACGCGGCGCAAGTCTGAGAGGCCATGGTCGGTCTCGTGTCTGTCCCAGTTGACCACAGATGCAGCCCAGTTGACGTTGGCCACGTCTCGGATAGTGGAGAACTCTCCGCCAGGACTGGCCAGTCATTCTATCAGTGAGAGTGCCCTGGACTCTCTTTCTCCGGGACCAAGACCGCGGGCTGCTTCTTCCTCGGGAACGGGAAGCAATGCAGCCAGGAAGGCGGACAGTAAGGGATCCCTGAGAAGAAGGAAGGCCAGGAAGAAGCGCATTTCGGCTTCGGCTGGCAGGAAATCAGATTCAGGTTCCGAACTGGGTGGAGATCTCACCCAGACGCTGATGAAGTCCTGCGAGTCGATGTCCTCCCAGCAGCTGCAGGAGTTCACCAATGCCCTGCTTAGCATCCAAAAGGGGGCAGCCCCTTTGAGTCCTAAGGGAGACGTTTCTGGAGTTCCTCTACTGGGCGAAGGCGAGGCTGGGGAGACCCAATTGATGCTCCCCAAATTCCGAGTGGGATCCTTCACCACGGCTGGCCTATTGGCCAGTGAAACTAGACTGGGAGCCCTAGCTGCCCTGTCCAACTACATGAACGAGGACGAGCAGCAAGCTGGTGAGTTGGGAGGAGACTTCCGCGGTTTAGGACTACTCGAACTGTATTCTCTATCTATCTGTTTTCTCACACAAGCACCCAAGCCGGTTCAGACCAGGCTCAAAGGTATTGCCAATGCACCCACACTTCCAAGTCATTACTTGAGATATTCCTTAGCTATCAGTCATCCTTCCTTCCCAGATCCCTCTTTAGCTATAATTTAATAATACGATTCTTTTCCCCATAGAACTCAGCACCGAGGACCATCACAGCAGCATCTCGGAGACGGCCTGGGACAACTACCAAGAGAAATACAACTCGGAGAACTATTCCGAGGGCTTCGACTCGGATGCGGCCCGGCGTCTCTTGGAATTCGGCGACGACTATCGGTGAGTGCTGGCAAAAATAATGATGAGGGCGACCTTTGAGGCCGTGCCAAGAGTTATTTATAACCGCTCAAAACCAAACCCATCCGCAGCAATTTCATCGACTCGCAGTCGGACTGCTGCAGTTCTCTGTCGGCAGCCAACAATCTGGACTCGTTCTCGCCGCCGCGCATGGACTCGCTGCAGAAGCACGAGCTGAAGACCCTCCACATCAACCAGGAGACAATCACCAGCAGCGTGGACCACGCCCGCCGCCAACGCGCCCTTGAACTGCAGTACGAGCGCCGTCGCAAGACCTTGGAAGTCCGGCGCAAGTCGTGTCAAGGTGGGGAGTTAAAATCCTTTTTCCTTTTGGGATATAACAAGAATTTTTCCCTCCCCAGACATGGATGAAATCCCATTGGCTGGCCCCCAAAAGGAGCAGCCTCCGCAGCAACTGCAGACGCAGACCTCGTTGTCTGCCTCTGCCACCGCCCTAATGACAACGCCCAAGAGCCAGTCCATCAGCCAGCAGCTTAACCAACGCACAGAATCCGTGGGTCGGAAGCTGGACTTCGGCGGAATGAGCCACTCTGCTCAGTCCCTGCTGCGTCGTACCTCGGAGAGCGATACTTCGACCAGAAGGCGACGCACTGTGACGGCGGATGAGAGGAGACGCTCCTCCCGCAACCTGGAGAAGTGCATCAAGTTGATTGCAGCCACCACTTCCTCGTCGAGTGGCTCGGACTCCGAGGACGGAGAGCAGGAGATGCGATCCCTCCTGCAGCAGAGTCGGGACCGACTGGACGACACCAGAGCCCTGAAGATAAGATGCCATCTGCTCAGACCAGAGGATTATGTAAGTCAGATCACGGCTGCTTCGTTAGATCCCTACTAACTTCAGGCACATCCTAATCCCCAACCAGAACGAGATTATCAACACTTGCCGGGACAACATCCGCTGCCTGGAGGCCGTGCTGCGCGGTCCGCCCGGCACCGTGCTGTCCAACCACTGCGCTGGCCAGACAAAAGGTGAGTTCCAGCCTCCACCACCTCCACGCAAACCATCATCATCATCCGTATCAGCCGGCTTACGCCGGCGCCGAAGGCAGCGGCCAAAGACTGAGCCTCCTAGCCGCAGTCCCACGGAATCCGGGGACTCCCGGCAGCTGATGCAGGTGGCCGAGTGCCAGTGTGCACCCATTACGCGCTTCTTGGCACGGGTGATCGAGTTTGTGCTGGACGTCAGCAACATGCTGGAGCACTTTACGCTCTACCGGTTCCTGGCGGGAACGCTGAGGTCGCTCTACGAGCTGGTCAACCGGCCCGGCGGGCGCCTCGGCCGCTTGTTCGGCAGCTTGCGGGGATTGTTATAAAAAAAAAAACAGAGTTAAAAATCCCAAGTCCGCGCTTAAAGCATGTATTATACGGATGCCTTTGATCACTGTTCAAATTGATCTTTAAACCACTGTATTACGATAGTGCATATGATGTATGATTGGAGAAAGTTTGTTTTTGCATTTGACAAAACGCATTTCGCATCGAATTTACTTATCAAGTTATTTACGCAACTTAATCGCCTTCTGTTCTATTTTATTATTATTTCAAATAATCTTATTTTACTTGTTCTTTTCATTTTCTTCTTGCGCATTTGTTTACTTTTTGGCAATAAAATCTACACACCAAAAGCAAAACTAAAATTGTTATAATTCTCAATTCTCAACTTGCGTTTGTATCCGTTTGTCCCGTGAACTATCCCTAATTTAGTTTTTATTTTGGTGTTCTGTCATTTTGTCACTCTGTCACTTTGTCATCCGTTCGTTAACTCCACGTAATGCCGCTAATGCTTGTGTCTTTGTCAAATGTATTAACAAATTAATTTAACAATCCAATAACTGTCGTGTTTAGATTGCTTATAGTTTAGTTACTCAGATCATTTAGTCCAGCACTAATATCGATCCCGTCCCGAAGCAGTAATGGTGTGCTCAAGTCTCAGTTGCTCTCGAAGAGATCTTGAGATAACCCAAATAATCTACTTTAAGTTGTTAGCTTTAAGGACCTTATCAACGACTGACCCATATTTGGCAGTCGGTTAATATCTAATTTATATTTAACTTTCACCTTATCTGAGTCCCATAAGGACTATTAACTGGCAATTTTCATTATTCTTCAAGACTAGGTATCTATAATCCGACATATCTATTTTTATTACCTCAGTGGAAAATTTCTTTACATGGCATGGTTTGCGTCCGCGATAAAGTTTTGAAAGCATTGCAACTTGAAAGCCTCTAAACATTTAAATTGCCTAAAAATTTTCCAAATTCTTTGAAGTTTTTCCGAATACATAAATCTGCTTAAATCGCAGAAGTATAGGTACTTTTTAGCCAGCTGCTTAATTCTGACCCCCAACAAGAGCAAATTTATTTTCGCCCGCTGACGTCACACGCCCGCAACGTGTATTTATAAACAAATGTGATGACTTGGTGGAAAATTAATTTATATGCGAGGGCTGGTTCAAAAACTTGCAGAGTCTATTTGTGCAAAGAACTGGCCGCAGTGCTTACAAAACTGCAGCTTTACTTGTTCAAACTGTAGACTTAGGGGTTCATGTAGAAGTCGCTAGGTAGCGCTTTTGTGTGTGCTCTCCAAACTGTAGCTTCAGCTTTTGGCCTTTGGGCTGTCGTCATCGCTTGTTGTCGTTGTCTGGTTTATAATTTATTTTGGTTGCGTTAGAAAAAGTGACGTCGCCTTTTGAAATATAGACTTATGAGAGTGTTTTTTTGGTAATGCGGCTTGGCCTTTGTTTCCGCTTGATCTCTCGCATCTATTGAGCGCGCCTTATAGATATACAAATATAAGAATAAAAACGGTCTTTTTAGGGATTGCGTATGACGAAACCAAGTTCAAAAGTTCTCTGTTTCGGAGTTCTCTCTTTGGGATGTTTGCGTGTTAGCTTCTGAATGTTTTTCTACACAAAGAGAAATATAATAATATAAATATATATAATAAATATAAAAATATTTTATCATGCTCTTTGAACGTTTAAAGTTAACTTCTTAGTTTCAAAAACACTATTTTTTTACTTCATATTTAAAAGGAAATTAAGTACGTTTGTTATTTTCTGTTTTTTAAAAAAGTTCTGTTTCGAAAATAAATAACTGTGCTAGGCGAGCACGTTACTTTTGCCCTCTGGCTCTCTGCCGCTCGAACTGTCTCCCCTTTTTCTCAGCTCTCAGCTGTCTCTGCGTGGCGGTTCGTCTCTCCACAGCTCTCAGTTCAATTTCTGCGCGCGTTCCAAGCGGTCGTTCTCTGTTTCCCGACTATAATTAATTTTTAACGTGCTTCCGCGAAATGTGTGAAATAATCCAACGAGATACTCGCATAATTCCGCAAAAAGAGCTGTGATAAGAACATAACTAAGTTACTTAAGCCTGTCGAAAAATCCCACTAGAAGTTCCATTCATGAAAACCAGGGTCACCCCTTGTATAAGAGTTCCTGTTCGTTATAAGAGTTTCGCGTAAATTGCGGTAGTTTTCGAACCTAAACTAACTTCATTGAAGTATTGCTTAAATTACGGAGGAAATTCCCATAATCTGTGTTGTGTGCTCCGGAAAACGGAATCGAAATGCTTTAAAACTCAAATTGATTACGAAAATTGATTTCAAGTGGCGCATCGAACAAAGGGAATCTGGGTCACGCGGGGGTTGAAGAGAGCCTTTCCCGCCGAGGGTTGCCAGGGAATAGCTCCAAAGGCACAATGGGGAAAGTCAGCGTGGCCGTCCAGACGGACATACTGAAATGCTTTTCGGCCACTTCTTCCACCAACACGTCGCGTTCGTCATCGGAGCAAGGTAAACACTTGGCCACCGAGCAAACACTATGCCAGACTAAGATACAGCCCGTTATGTGTACTGAGATGATGTGATGGTGGGGTAAACATAATTGGGAAACAGGTGTAAACAGTGCGAGGGGCCAAGGTGAGGCGGAGCACAGGCACTAGGCAGAGATCGCACAGTAAGATAAGAGTGAAACCAGCAGGGCAGATTCATTCACAAAGGGAAAACAAGCGAAGATAGTTTGGAGGGAAAAGTCGGGCTAAGTAGGCAGGTGACTAGGCAGGCAATTAGAGGTATGAGAGAAGAGAGATTTAAGCTCAGCGCTAGGAAAACCCATAATTACGCTAGTTAGATGCCCTAGCATGACACTATAGTTCGGAGTGGAATGACAATGTAGCTAAGTTAGGAGGTGTAGAAATGTTTAGGCCAATTAGAGGAACTTTTAAAGATAATATCAAATAATTGGTCTGATCTTAACATTGCAATAGAAGGTATTTTGAGTTCCCAAATTCAGCTTAAGCTATTTGCATTTTATTCTCCTCTTAATGAGGCCAGTATAAGCTGTTGCCACATATGAGAGCTCTCATCTCAAAGAATCTAAAGAAGCAGCAGGGAACTCTTCTACATCATAAATCCGCCACTTGAGTGCTTGATGATCTTCTCCAGATCTTCTAGCAGATCCGCTAGCTATTGCGCCATTCTTGCCGCAATTCACATAAAGAATTCTTCTGGCGGACTCTGCCACTCGTTTCTGCCAGACCCATTGACCGACTTTGATCTTCAAGCTGCCAAATCGGGCTGCAAGTGGCCATTGGCCAGGCCATCAGACACTTGGCTCGCTAATTAGGGTGCTTACTGTACCATCAATGCACTTCATGCGCCGCTGCCCCTCGTCGACCCGCTAATTAACGGTAAATGCAGAACAGTGATCACTCCTATAGCGAGCATTTTATGGTGGCGTTCCCCTTTGAAGTTTCCAAGATTGTTTTAGTTTTGGAGCGGGAAAAGCCGGAACCGGTTGCCTCAATTACATCATAACTTTTCTGTTTTTTCTGCCAGCGCTGCTCAAGTTCAAGTTCTCGGTTGTCATTCGATAAAGTCGAGTCATTAAAAACGGATCTCTTGCCCCATTTGTGGTTGACCTTCGCTTGATCAGAGTTAGAAACGAGATCTAAGGTAACCGATTGAACCAGCTCAAGTTGCTCCTAATTGTGGTTGGCCAAAGTGGTTCAAGTCGTTTCTCCGGAGGGCACTGAACCGCAGTAACTGGCTACTTCCATTTGCATTTGCAATACCATTTGCAGTGCTTTGTCGATTTCCGCTTGTGAATTTCCTGCCTGATTGGGGAGATTTATTACTTCATTCATGCAGAAACACCGCTCCCCAGATCCATTCGCAGTTCCAGCATTTTTAGCATCTCTATGGTAATTTTCGGTTGGTTCTCTGCCGCAATCTAATCAGCAGTTAATAAGCGTTTAAAAATATCCAGCGACCGACGTTGCTTCATGAATATTTTTCACTAATTGTCTATAATTATTGTCTGCTACCACACAGCTACGCTCGCTCATAAGTATTCAAGATTAATTTGGCAAATATTTTGGGTTGTGTCTTAGGTCAGGCGACTAGGCGGTTGCCTCCGCTTTCGTTGCTTACCTCACCTGCCTCGATTTGTGTTTTATCTATAGAATACGTTATTCCATTTAAGGTGGATGGAAGTATCTATGGTTATTTCTGTTAAGAAATCCAGGACACACCTTCTAGGCTCTGTTTATTGCCCTCTGTCACGCTACTCCTTTGGGTATCCTATCCTTGCAAGTCGGGAAAGGAAAACTTAATTAAATTGAGGTTGTCGTTGGGTGTTTAGTCTTCAATTTAGAAGGGAACGAATGCAAAACCGATCATGAAAGCGATCATCAATCATATAACTTCTAATTATCTTCGTTCTAATAGCTTTTGGAATGAGCTCAGATATGAATTTCTCACTTTTGTATGACTGCACTATGGCACTTGCTCTCTGATTTGTTCTCTCTCGCTCCCAGCAACACCTCTCAGCAGCACCCACGTTAAATACGATTCTCCCATTGTGGCCAACAACTGTAGCCAACGTCAACGACCTTGGCCAAAAACCCCGCCCTCCCCTGTGCGGTCTCTTGCAGTTTTGCAGTTTTCGTCTGCTATTTGCATTTCAGCTATCGTGACGAAATTCGCTGCAATTAATACAAAAAACAGACAAAACAGCGGCAGGCGAATTTGCATGTCAGCGAAGAAGCTTCAAAGTGATGAAACGCTGAAAATTTCTTCGCTGAAATGAAAACTATTTGGGGAAGACTTGTCTTAGAGCTTAATTATAATGATTCGCTTTCGTGAAATATGAGCATTTATGCGGTTTGATTAACGCAAAGAGAAAGTATCTCGCGGGTCAGTAATCTCTCGCACTTAGCCAGATATAATGGCTAATCAATTTTATGTGCACTTTTTGCCTCTGTCATGAAGTTATCTCGCGGGGATTATTCAATATCTGCCGGAAAGCAGGTGGAGTCCGGCCCCCAACTCCAACTCCAGATCCGATCAAAAACAATCTTCGTAAAGCGGCACCAACTCTAAACTCGAACTTGCAACGAGTTTAAACCGCCGGACGACTGATTTCCAACAAGATTGGGTAACGCAAGCACCAAGACCCCGCCAAAGTGCGTGTGCACTGAGAAAAATGAGATCTAGTTGCAAAGATTGAAATCTTCAAGATTGTTTATTAAATCTTGAAAGCCTATAATATTAGCCATTTGCATTAGAAGGCAGAAGGATTGTGGGAGTACATACTAACCTTTGTTGTAAGCTATCCTAGTATTACTGATATCGTATCAGCTCACTCTTAGTTCGCTGCCTAATTAACTTGTTAGGCCTGGCATGAAACCCCCTCTCGATCCCTTTACAAAACTCCGCTTGCTTCGCTCTCGATCGCTTTGGTTCCGCTCGAGTTGCTCTTGTGGGTTGGCCGCTCCCCGTCGTCCGCCCACTTGGTGCAGTCCAAGGGTATCCAAGTCGAGCTTTCAGCTCCGCTGCAGCTACACTGAAGTACACTCAACCAGTTTCGGTTTGGCTGCCAACAAGTTCGGATCGGTTGGGCTCGGCTTATCCTTCTCCGCGAGTGCGTTGCATCCTCCTCTGCCTCTTATCACAGCCGAAATCTGAAAAAGAAATAAACTGGTAAAAACACCGTTTTTGGCCAGCCCCAAGGTGAAAGCAATTTGTGCAAACTCACATTACGCATTGCGTTTTAATAAGCCAACCGGGCCACACGCACTTGTCGCCAGTACTTCGATTTTGGTTTGCAGATCACAAAGAAGTGCAGCTGTTGAGGTGTTCCAGTCCAGTTTCGTAAGAGTTAACTCCGGTGGAAGTGAGTCTTTGTTTATTTTTAGATCTGTAAGTGTGTAATAGCCCTCTCGCTGCCTAGGATATCATTCCGACAACTCCTTTGTTAGTTTGACATCCTAAAATATCAGTAAAAGTGTATAATACGAGGTATCAGAAGGTCGACGCACTGTTTGCTTGCTCTTTTGCTCAGCTAGGGTTGACACCAAACTTCTGGTTCTGGTTCCAGTCCGCCCAACATCGACGCAGAGTGATTACCCCAACACAAACATTCTACATGCCAGTCGGAAATGGCAGCCAAAGGGGCCTCTGGAAATGCAGCGCCAACCGTTTAAGCCAAACATTTTCAATTAGAAAACTTTTCTGTTTCTGGCGCCCACAACCGCAAAGCGATTGCAAAGTTTTAACTGCAGCGGCTGGGGCTGCGGCTGTTTTCCTTTTCTTTCCCTTCTTTTATTTGTTTTTCTTTGCCGGCCCAGAGTTTCACTTTCCGCTGAAGTTCGCCAGCGTTTAGAGAAAGGTATTCATTACCAAGGGCTCCTGGAGCAAAGTGGAAATGGAAGTGTACTATAAATGGAAATGAGATTGCCAGCGCCCAATTAAGTAGCCTTTCTCTCGTGCACCATTTAACTCTGTTAACTCGAATCACCGTCCTGCCGCACCTAACCGACCACGTCCTCACGGTTCCCGCTTGTCATCTTTTCCCGCAGATCTGCTCGCCGCCTGGGAGGACCTGCTCAGCTGGAGCGAGAATGCCTCGGCTGCCCGGAAACTGCAGCAGGAGATGAACGTGCTCAAGCACTCGCTGCAGCGACTGGGAGACAAGCCCACCCCGGAGCTCCTCGACACGGAGCCGGCCATCCAAATCGCCGTGGAGGCTCTTAAGGTGAGTGCAAGAATACAATAACCTTCTGCCTTTTACTAAACCTCATCCTCTCTGCAGTTCGAGCAGTCGCAACTGGCCAGCTATAGGACCAACATGCTGCGCCTCAACGCCTCCGTCCACAGCTGGCTCACTAAGCAAGAGAGGCGACTGCTGAGCGCCTTAGAGGAGCAGGAGCAACAACAGGAGTCCGAACAACTCACGCAGGATAACCCCATGGAGAAGGATAAGGCCGCCGGGGACCAGAAGGACCTTCCGGCCAGCGGAGCAGTGGCCATCACGGTCACCGACAGCAATGGTAATCAAGTGGAGGCACTCGCCACAGGAGAAGCCTCCACCTCCACGGCAGGCTGGGACGTGCACTCCCTGATGTCCTCGGAGCAGGAGTTCCACAAGCACCTGAAGAACGAAGTAAGCGACATGTATGGCGCCTGGGATGAGGCGGATGCTAGGTAAGTTAACCCCTGACATCTGCATTTGGATTTCTTCTATCTGGAACTTACATCGACAGAATCAACACGCAGCTGGAGATGCTCACGAACTCGCTGATCGCCTGGCGGCAGTTGGAGTCCGGCCTGAGTGAATTTCACTTGGCCTTGGGCCAGGATAGAGGCACACTGAAGGGTCTCGAAGGAGCTCTGGATAAGGGACAAGCCACGCCTATAGAGTTGGCCCAGAACGTCAAACTAGTGGCCAAGCTGCTGTCGGAGAAGGTCAACGTTAGCCAAGAGCAACTTCTGGCCGTACAACAGCACCTGGACCCCAATCACATCTACCACATCGCGAAGTTTACGGCCTCGAATGGTTCTCTGTCCGATTCCGGCATTTCTGATGGAGGCGCCACTTCCGACGGTGGCCTATCCGAGAGGGAGCGACGCTTGGGTGTTCTTCGACGCCTGGCCAAGCAGCTGGAACTGGCTCTGGCACCGGGAAGCGAAGCCATGCGTTCGATTGCCGCCCGAATGGAGAGTGCCGAGGCCGAGCTAAAGCACCTGCAGAACACCTGCAGGGATCTGATTGTTCGCACGGCAGCCAGCCACCAGCAGAAACAGCAGACCCAACAGAATCAGGGCCAACAGGTTGAGCCCAAAGCCAATGGACAGGTAAAGAAGAACGCTGCCAAGGGCAACGGTCAACCCCAGGTGCCCGGAAAACGCGGCAAAGGAGCTCGCAAAGCGCGTCAAGCCAAAAACACTGGAGTAGGTCAACAGGAGGAGGAACAGCAGCAGCTCAGCCCGGAACAGCAGAAGATGGTGCTGAAGCAGGTCAAAATCCTGGCAAGTGGAGATGGCGGCGACGACCCCTCCGACGATCCCTCTCTGCTCTTCAACTTGGAAAGCTCCGAGGAAGATGCCGAAGAAGTGGATCCCGCCCAGGCCTCCAAGCGCGGATGGGCGTGGCGCATCGCAAGGGCGGCTGTGCCTATGCAGGTGGCCCTGTTCACCATCTTCTGCGCCGCCTGTCTGATGCAGCCGAACTGCTGCGACAACCTGAACAACCTGTCCATGAGCTTCACGCCCCAGCTGCGCTACATCCGCGGACCACCTCCGATCTGAGGACGGAATTCGATTTACTTAGCAGGCCGCTAATCGTTGTAGGTTACCGTTACGTTATGTTAAGGCATTTAACAGCTGTAACTAGAGTTAACCATCGCAACCGCAACCCCGCCACGCAGGCAGAGCACCGTTAGCTCGCCTTTGGCGCGCGTCACTCGCCCTCGAGGTTTTATAAGGCAGAACAGAGCGCTGTCCGGGAGAGTTCGACATCCGGAGGCAGCCCCATTTTATATGTCTAATTTAGGTAGCGAGCGCGAAAGGAACGCGATTAAAAGTAAGGATATATTTGTTATTTCGGTTAGTTTCCTGAGAGTTTAGGTTGCAGTTCTATTGAACACTGAAGAAGTACTTAGGCGACGAACAGCCACTTGAATACTGCCGCAAGAAGGATCAAGCGAGATCCTACCCAGTAAATATTTATACAGAGATAATTTTCAGTTTAGTGGCGTTTTTGTATGCTTTTCTGTTTAAAAAACACTAAAGTGCCTACAAATGCGAACTGTGAACGGGGAGATGTCAGCAGATAACAAAGGATCCGAAAGGGAGTCCAAAAGAGAGTAAGAATCCAAGGCAACGAAGCAAGAAGAAGCTAAAGGCCAACTGCAGAGGAGGAGCCAGCTAAGAGCTCCCAGGCGGAGATCGATGAACAGAGTTTATATTTTTATATGCAACGCAACTAAACACAATCAGTGCGAGGACAAGGACTCTTCAGCACCACACATCGTACGTTTTATGTCTATTATATTAATAGGATATCCTTAACCTTGTTTTGAAATAAGAAAAATTCAGCAAAAGCTACTTTAAATTGTCTCTTAGGTTCGTGTTTGGAATTACTAGACTTAGTTTATGATTTACTCACTCCCGGCAGATGATCAATGTAAAATACTTGTAAGGTTTATATACTTTGTGCGTTTTCAAAACTTTCACTTGGCAGTAAAACAGAAAAACATTTATACACAAGAACATTAAAGAAAAAGTATTCAAAAATTGGTTGTCTTTCATTTTGGGCTACTTTTTGTAGCATACTTCTGAGCGGCGTGTTGTTTGTTTCTAGCAAGTTTCAGCCGATCACTAGGATGTCGGCGCTACGAACACGTATGAAGCGAACTTCTGACAGCGAGCGCAGTATGAACGGATTCCCAAAAGTATGCAACAATTTGGGGCAAATGTTCCCACAAGTAAATGGAATCCCCGCGTAAACTAAATTAATGTTGGCTGTAGTTAATTCTTCTTTAAAAAATGTAGCTTATTGAAATTTCATTGAAGGGGGAAGAAAATATAACCTCTGTCAAGACTGTTAGTTAAGTAGGCTTTATAAACCTTTCCTCTCTATAAACTGAAAATGATCTAGACCAGTAATTCAAAATTCGAGTGTGATTCCACAAATGCTCTTAGGATAAGGGGAAAAGGGCGACACATAGTGGCATCAGCGGGAACACCTGGAGACCCCTAAGAGAATTTGAAGTAATAGTGACGCTGCTGACCCCCATAAAGCTTAGCCATGGCTTTGGCAGACGAGAGCAACTTCGCCTATGTGAAGCAGGTGGCACTAGACTGGCGGGAGATGGTGCGCGAAAAGCACCAAAGTTTGTTGATGTCGCCTACGCAGAGCTTATGGGGGGATGAATCCCAGCTGCGAATGGCGGGTACAAGGTCCCGGACGCAGTCGATGATTCCGGATGAAAGACGTGCCTCCAGCTTCTACCGGCATCGCTTTTCACAACAGGAGAAGCCCCTAGTGATCGAGAGAAGGGAGGGAAGCATGGAGCCATCCCGCATCCGAATCAACGACGAGCTCCAAATTTACATTTTCCAGCCGATCTACGTCTCACCCGCTCTGAGGGCCTCCATTCAACCTCTGTCCCGCAGTGACTTAAGCCTGGCCTCGACCTTACTGGACACGCCCTTAGAAGAGGTCAACCCTGTTACGGCGGCGAGTCCAACACCACAGTCAGTGTCGCCCTAACCCGTAAAATAATCATGATTTCCTTCCACCTCATACTTTTTGTACTTCAGAGCAATAAAACACACTCGATAAAATGGGTTTAAATCATTTTCTGCTAAATTGCGACCACCTTAGTGCATCTCTAAGCTAGAAACAGTACTTAAACCTGAGAAACTGGTATTTAGTAACATCTTTTAATATTCAGTGGTAATACCGAATATTCTTCTCAACTGATATCCTTGGAAAGTGAATTTGGTATTCTTGGCTTTGCTACTCTCGTCTGATTTTGATATCCTGTTTGCCTTTCATCAAATGTCCTGCATCGGCTGGACGTCCGTTGACGTTGATGGATCTGCGCCAAATGAAACGCACTGCGAAGTTGACCTGAACAAGGGAACTCCACCTACATATGTGCAAAGCCAAAGACCAAGGTAGAACCCAAACCAAGGCGGCAATAAGAAAGTTTCGCTTATATAAAACATATGACCAATCGAAATGGAGTCGAGTATATAAATCCCATTTCCCCTCTTTTCATAGAAGCTGTGTTCTCTGTCTAATACACAAACTACCCTATCTCTTCATTCCTTTCGTTGCACTTCAGTTGTATGGCCGTCCCTGTCTGCTGTTAAGCCCAGACACGAACCTCTGTTATGCCACTGTAGAGTTCCATCTCAGCAGTAAGCGGGGACTTATTGCGAATATCAAATAGTTATTACTTTTATTGTTATATATAAACTATATACTGTCTTGAATTGAGGGATATGGTATCTAACTAATCTAAAATATTTTCCCTGATACGAAACGAACACCTTTTAGGACTGAAACCAAAAAGGCTTTATAAGTTATCCCCAATCCCTTCCCAACACATCCGCAAACCCCCTCTCGGCATTAGCATTCGATCAAGGCGATCCTGAACCAGCGACAAATGATAAAAACTTAAGCGTGTCAAGTGCGCGAACAATGAAAACATAATTTTGTTTACGCCTCGAGGGTTAATTCCCTTTCAGATTGGACGGAGAGTCACCAGTCACCACCACCAGAGGACAGGAGCACCAGAACAGGCTCAACAATTATAATAATATGTTTACTTACCAGCAGGGCGAGATGGGTGTGGCCAGGGTCCTCGACTTCGTTGCACGCTCCTCGGTTCGCGTGCCACAGCGGAAGCGAGCTGAAAATTGAATTTACATAATTTTTAGTCCGCTGAGAAATAAGAGGTAGATAATGGCTGAAAAGATTGCGGCAAGTAAGGAATAGTGATGAAATGTCGTCCTTTAAGAGGGAAATGAGATGCGTTTCTCACATGCAGAAGAGGGTGTCCGTAATATATATAATTATATGCAGAGGTATATAAACTAGACTAGAACTAGAACACTTCCTTAGACATTCTACTCATTTAGAAACGTTTTTGATTTGGATTTCGAGTTGGCCTGGCAGATTGGAGATTGCCAATAAGCTGGGTAGGAAGTTGACCGGAGGCAGGCAGGGGCGACACACTCGTCTCAACCCTTAAGCTATTCATTAAACTTTGTGATTAAACTGACCACAGCACGAGGGGTGGAAGGGAGGAGGGGATTATACACATAGCCACCCTTTTCACCCCAGGACTTGCGGCAGTTTAGTGAGGTGAAGTGAGTAAAGCGAGCGGCGCTGACTGCTGCCTGCTGACAGGCTCATTAAATGCCGCATTCATGCGGCCTTCAACTCCAACCTCTGCCCTTGTCCCGCTGGCCACGAGCAAAAGTCAACACATCGAATTGAATGCCCCCCCGAACCCCCCTCCCATTCCACCCAATCGGGCTAATTTCGAAGCACAACCTTTAAATTACAAGAGACCTTTAAACTTGAGGAGCAGAGAGGAAGGCACACAAGAAACACGGACAACAGAAACCACATAAATAACGCAAGGAAAATTGTGGAAAATTGCCGTAACAATTTATGTTGACATTATCTTGAGACACATTTTTCTATCTGTCCCTGCTTTTTTGCTTTTCTGGATGATTAATTACCGCAAAAAGAAAAATATTTGAATATGAAAAACGATGTCTGCGATAAGCTGGGCGGGAAACTTTTCCTTATTGCTCCCCAGTCGCCGATAAACCAGAAGGACTTTTAATGAACTAAACATTCCATCATCTCCTGGAGGGAAAAGATTTGGAAAGGAAATTCTAGGAGGAATCTGAGTCAGGTGATGATTTTTATGTTCTTTATGTCTTAAAAAATACTCGCACCCTGTGAGTTAGCTTTTCTAAGTCTTAAAATGTACTTTCCTGCTCAGAGAGACTTTCTCTTCATTCGCTTTAAGAACATTTCCTTTTATTCCAAAACATAAACCCTTAAAAGTGCCTTTCTCTACCTTCGACCTGCCGGAGGATTCACTTCTTCTGGGCTGCCAATAAAATTCGATTTCTGTTCGGGCCCTGACCCGGAGGAGAGGCCGAGGAAAAGGTCGTGCCGTTAAATGTAACTGCGCTGTAATTTGCATAATTTTCTATTCATTACATAATTCTGTCAATTTCCAATACATTATAATTTGTTAGAGGACAGCGAGCGGAGGGAACAGGGGAAGAACTCAGGAAAAATATGCAAAACAGCAGCCGAAGAAAAAATGGAACAAATTATAGTCGTCGCTCCCACTCCGGGTCGTCGTTCCTCTTATTTGTAATTTGTTTTCGGCTTAAAAAGATTATTTTATGGTGAAAACAACCCGAGGCAAAGTTGTTCAATTTTTTATGCGCAATATGCTGGAATTGAAAGGACGAAAAACAGGTCACCAGTTGGGGTAAAGAAATTAACACATCGGGCAGGAGAGATTGCCGAGATACGGCGAGAGTGCGGCCAAGGATCCGGAACAGCCAGAGCCAGAGCGTAGCCTCGGCGGGAATAAAAGAAACCGCAAACTTATCTAATCCTCAACCGGAACCAAAACGAAAATCACGTAGCCATTATAAATGCAAATCAAGTGTCAATATTGCACATTTGAATATTTTCGCCACAAGGATTTTCATTTGCACAGCCGAATGCGAATGCGAATGCGAATTTTCCGTGTTTTCCTTTCCTTCGTTTTGTAAATCAGCAAAGCAAACATCTGAGACAAAAGTGGCAGGCCCAGTGCGAAATCAATCGGAATCCCTAATGTCAACTGAGTGAATTTATCAGGACTTTTCAGGACATTTGCCAAACATCTGGCCAGGCATACTAATGAGGTGGCAGAGAACTTAATGATGGGTTGCCAACTGGAAGGCCCTTAGTTCGTATGATTTGGTTTAGGATTAGGATAAAGAAGTAATCACGGGTTAGTATACGATCTATATACCTTTAAACCACATTCTTATCATTATCATTATCATCTCATTTTTACATTTCGTAAAAATTTGTCAAGATTAATGCTTTTTAGTCCCTCCTCCTGATGACTTCTTGGTGGGGATCCTCTTTCCACTTAAGCCCCCCAAAAACCTTCCTAACTACTAATTGCCATTCTAAGCTGCGCAAACTTCCAGCTGCAGAAAGTTTTCGCCGCAGGCAGGTCGAAAGCCCAGGGGCCATGTCATGAATACCTGTCCCTCCTAAATCCATCTGCAGTTCCATGTCCGCCAAACTTGAATAAGTTGTCAAGATAACTTGACCTCGGCTCGGAGGCTGGTGGCTCCTGCCACAAGGAAATTACAAATATTTGACATACATACTGGCCACGTAACATGAGCTTTAATATTTCCCAACCTGAGATCGAACCCCCATAGCCCCCACTCGAAATCTGCATTCGTGACTGGAGACAATGCCGAAAGAGGTAGAAAAAACAAAGGCAGCGAGACACGCGAGTCACGCGAATTAAGCAAAACTGAGAGGGAAAAGATATATACCTGAGATTTGGGGAAAAGGATTTCCCCACCACATCATAATGCTGTCATATGCCTGGCCGATGGGTTTTATTGGGGAGCCTACATTAGCTGACATCTCCATTTCGGCTGGCAGGGAGTTATTACGAGTCTTATTTTGTTTTCTCTGACTCAAAGTGACTTGGCTGGCTGGCTGGCTGGCTGGCTGGCATGCGAGCTTCTTGGCCTAATGGAAGACAAACATTTTATGGCCAACTGACCTGCTACACCCCGCTGAAGAGCTCGTCCTCCGATTACGTATTCTCGTTCATTCAATTACATTTTTGCGCACACTCAGCACTAAAGGGACCGCTCATAAAGCGTCAAAATTTCGGGCAAATGAGCAGGCTCTGTCTTCTGATGGAAATCCTCCCACTTTGTTGTCCTTCATTAGAAACTGCTCCCCGGGGCATTCGATTCGTCCAAGGCGGCCACACACATGAGTCCGGTTCCGAGTTCCGAGTCCGAGGAGAGGACATGCCGTGTCAACGCCATCAAAGTGTTTGGCCTCTATTAAAACTGACAGCTGAACGACCTCCCCACCCACTCCTCAACACACCCTCCCCTCGTCACCCTCATCGCCAGCTGAACCGCAGCGTAAACATTGCGGCCGCCTCAATGGACCTTGGACCTCTCCGCTGACATCGCGAATCGAGTCCTGCCCCGTGTCCTTCCTCGCCTGCTGACCATCGCATTTCCCCCGAGGCCAGGACAAACACTTCGCCCCACTCAGCACTCTCCCTCTGTTTTCCCCACATTTCCCAGTCCAGTTAAGTCCGAATCTTATTGAACGTTCCACTTGATTGTGTGGCCATTCCTGAAGGCCCCAACCCAACTTCTAGATTTGAGACTTGCTTATGCTTATTCGATAAATAATAAAGCATTCAATATTTCGACAATTTTTAGGCACAAATCGGAACATACCGATTTTCGCATTTTTGGAAAGGATCTTAAAATTTTAAGAAAAACCTCAAAAATGGTGTTCGACGGGGAATTTAATTACGAACTTAATGAGGCATAACATTCCATGTTACGATCGTGTTTGGCTTCGTAATGAGGAAAATACTGATATTTAGGACGGAAAATCGAAATTTTGACTTTTAGTAAAATTTGCCATATTTTTCCCCAATGTTATGCTTATAACTTTGTCAACTTAAGAGACAGAACCAAAAGAATGACAGTTTTGTGCAGCTAACGACCCAATATTTTTGGCTTCACAT